AAACTACTACTATTTACTAATCTCTTATCTTTATTATTTACTAATCTTTTATCTTTTTAATTTAGCTTGCATCTGACCAATATGTGCCTCAAGCACAAACCTAGAGTAGTTGCTTGCTTTTGTTTTCATTTGGCCTGCAAGTGGACTAATTGGGAGGTAAGATTTAAACGAGCTATTATTGACGTTTTTATTTTCTCTAATTTAACTTGAATTAATTATTTGCTGGAATTTTTTCTTTATTGTATGAAAATAATGTATACTTTAATTAAAAAATTAATGATTGTATGTAGGAGGTATTTTTTTAATGAAAAAAAAAAGAAGTTCTAGTGTAGAAATAACAGTTCAGTTCCAATTTAAATCCCAAAATTCATATTTTTTCAGATTGTATTCTTATTAGCACGATTTCCTGATCAATTGCATAAACTCAAACAATATCTCTTAACATTTGTACTTCAAGTTCAGAACACTTACGAGTAATTAAAAATACTTCATTTGCTTTTTAAATAAATTTGAAAAATGATTTCCAATTAATAAAATTAACAATTTAATCTCAGCTAGTGTAGATTTCTCTCAATTTTCTTTACTGTTAAAAGTAGTTCAGATAAAACTATACTATTTAATTTTGAATATTTAAGTACTGAAAGATTAAAACTCTTTCTAAATTTAATTCAATAATATATATCTATATATATATTAAATGCCATATTTTAATTTTTTTTAAATTCTTAAAACTTTTTTAAATCAATTTATTTCGCAATAATATTTCTTCCATCTTATATACATAATGTTTAAAAATATGTATGATATATTAAGTTGTATTTCATTCTCTGTTTTAATTTTACAGATTGAACCTTGTTCAAAAGGCAAAGACTGGTTTCATTATATTGATCCGAGTGTGTCTTATAAAACTTTGGAAGGTACGCATCTTTTCTTTTTCTCTCATTACTTTTATTAAGTTTTTATTCCAATAAATTACAAAGAGAAAATTTGTGTTATGTAACTTTTTAAAAATTACAATTTCTAAATCTTATTATGAGTTTTTATATTTTATTAATTCCTCTATTAGAGAAAATTTATAATGTAAAATATTTCAACTCTCTTCGTCTTTTTCTTTACATTCGAAACTGTTTTTACATAATAGTTTTCCTTTCTTTTTTTAAGAAGATTAAATTAATGTTTTTATGAAGTAGGTAAACTGGTTTAGTGTTACTGGTTTAGTTTTAATTATTTCATTCATTTTAAGTGAAGAATAAATCCACAGTCTGAAAGAGTGTTACAATTATTTTCTCTTTTTGACAAAGATTAATGAAGAGCAAAAATTTTGGTAAAGACCTAAATAATTTGATGTAGGAAAACAATTGGCATTGTTATCTTTAAATTCATTTATTAATAAAATGCTTAGTGGGAATTTTTTTTTTTTTTTGATCTTAAGATGCCAATAATTTTTTTCTTCTTCCAAATTTCTTCAAAAATAATTTTTGTAATAAATGCAAATAAGAAAGATAAAATTTTAAAACACTACACTTTCAACAACAGATATGTTGTGTTAAAAATGGTTATACTTTTTATCTAGCAAACAATAAATTTGTTCAATTTTTTATTAAGCTTTATTTGTCACTACCTTTTGAATACAGTTTATAAGTTTTAATTTAATAGGAGTCTCTGCTCTCAAACTCTCGTAATTGCTTCTCATTCATCATTGTTTTTTTTTCCTTTTAAACATCAATATTTTCCACAAAATATTTATTTAGTTTTCAAACTATACCATTATTGCAGCTTAATGTGAGAACATTTTATGCCCATATTAAACATAACAAAATGGACAGTTACTTGGATTTCAAAAAATAAACGACTGAACTTGAAAAATAAACACTTTAACTTGAAGTTTACAGATTGTGTGAGTCAATAATATTGAATAAATGAGAATTAACTGTAATCGTTGACATTATAACAATTCAAATAGGGAACGGTTTTCATTGCTCGTTATTAAGTTTTTTCACTTAGAAAAATTTTGTTATAAAAGTTAAGATTTATATCTGGCAAACACACACATATTCTCTCGCTCTTGTTTTTTTTTTTTTTTCTTGCTACTTTGATTGGATTGAAATTAACTAGAGTGGAGCTTATAAAATAAAGAAATAAAAATCTCGTAAAAGAAAAATAAATTTCTACAATAATTGATGTTACAATTAAAAGAAAAAATCTTAAAAAAATTCTTAAACTAACAAATTGTAATTTTGAAACAAAATTTACGTTAAAATCACACATAAAAATGCTCTTCCAGCTTGTTAAATTTTGATTCCGTTGTTGCATTTCAGCCGACTACAGATCTATCACACATGTTATTTTACCCTACAAGTTAAACATTGAATAATTCTTGAAGTAATTATCGATTGCTAATTTTTTTTTTATTTCATTGTAAATTTTTCTACACACTCGCGTAATTTCAAGTTTCTAAATTCTATAGTTTTTGCTCAACAACACAAAATATAACGTTAAATTGAACGCCCAATAAATCAGTTTTTAATATTTTGCTACTCAGAAAATTGAGGATCCATTTTTTTTTTTTTTTAAATTTTAAAACTTCTAAAAAAGGAAAATCCAGACTATGTAATAATGAATTTAGAGTCATGTCCAGAAATACGTAAGAGTCAGACATTCTGAAATTTCTAGAAATCAGTATTTATTGAATGCGTTCCGACAAAAGAGTTAACAAGAATATCAAAATGTTTGATATACTATTTGTAATGATTTTCTCAATCGATTAAGATTTATAGACATTTCAATGGTTTTTATTTTTTTACAGGTCTTATTCATGAATTCCTCGATGTCGTCGAAATAAGTCCTCACAAATTAAAGCAGCGATTATTTGTTCAAAAGGTAAATTTGCTTTTTATTTATAAGGCAATGATGTATTGTTTTACTATTTGTAATTTTTTTTTTAGTCTTATGTAAAGGATTTTCTCACAGAGTGATATTTATGCTATCAATAATATTTTATTTATAAAGCTTTGCTATTTTACTAAATTTAAATTTTTTTATGCTCAATGTGAAGGATTCTTTTACGGCATATTATAAAAGTAAATAGATTCTTCGTAACTTCAAAGTTTAAAAGAAATTTTTTTTAGAACTAGATTCTAACTGTCAACTCAAAAACTGTAATTCATATAATGGATATCCAATACAATATTATAATAATTTAAATAATAACTTCAATATAATAATTTAATTATAATATAAAATAAATTTTCACGCTATTATAACTCAAGCTTAATTATTACTCTCTCTCTCTCTCTGTCTTTCAAGTTGCTTTTGACATCAACTAAAGCACGAAAATTAAGCACCTATAAAATGAAGGTCTTGAGAAGGGAATAAATATATTTTCTGACAACAATGGATAAATAGTCACTACTTAAAACAAAAAAAGGAATAAAATTCGGGAAAGAGCACTTGCGATTGCAACAACTTTCAAACATAATACACAGCACTTTTCGACATAATATTATACAAAACTTAAGTAAACCAACTACATTTTCTTTTTCATTTGAGAAGACATGAGATGTTTAATGTATTTTTTTTCTGATATCCATATAAAAATTCGAAAACTATTTGCATATCAATTTTGTGATACGTTACGCTTCTTTTTTAATTTTTCATTTATCTGAGTAAATTTTTAAATAAATTTTACATATGGATTTTGACAAAAACTGATAGCTCTATGAAAAGCTCATAGATTCCAAATTTGACTTACAATTATTTTAGGATATTTAAACTAAAATTAAATGTCCAGGGATTTACTTTAAAAACACTAAAATTTAGTCTGGTTTTTATTTATTCATTTAATGACACATTTATATGCAATCTAGCTTTTATTAAATTTCATATTCTTTTCTTTGTATTAATTTAAACGATTTGTGCTTTTTCGATTATTTATATGCTTATCTTTTATCTTAGGTTCACCGAATGCCTGAAAGAAAAATTGAGGAATCTTCCAAAATCAAAGTAGAACCCGAAATTTCGATTAAGCCTGAATGTAAACAGAATGGTGCCTCATTATTAGTAAAGGTGAAAGCTGAAACCTCACCAGAAACAAAATCCATTTCGCCTGTCCAATCGGAAACAAGTCCTCTCAAATTAAGCCAGAAATTCGTTCAAAAGGTAAATTTGCTTTTTATTTCTAAGTGCAATTCTTCGTTGTTTTATTAGATAGGAAATAATCTTCGAAACTTCTAAGTTTAAAAGGAACCAATTTTTTAACCATATTCAAACCAGCAACTCAAAAGTTATGATCCATTTAGCGAATATACAACGCAATACTATAATTATTTAAATATTATGTAAAATAATTTTTCAAGCTATAATAAGAAATACACTCTTAAAATTGAAAATTTGGTCATTAGATTCAATCGAATTTACGTTTTATTTACATTGAAGGTATGAGAAAACAGTATAGTTACTTAATTATTTACTATCTCTCTCTGTCTTTTTAAATTGCTTTCGACATCAACTAAAGCAAGAAAATAAAAGCTTATAAAATGAAGATCTTAAAAGAGAGACACATACATAAATTTTCTGACAAAAATGGGAAAATAGTCATTATTTAGTGCAAAAAATTATTAAAATTAAAAAACAAATGCAACAACTTTCGATCAAATTTGTACTTCAAAGAAAATTTATATTAAGTGCAGAAAGAAAAAAGAAATCCAATTTAAAAGCTTAAAAATAATTAATATTTTTTTATTCAAGAAAGAATTATTCGTTATATATTTAAAAGAAGCTCATTAACTCGAAATTTAACACACCATTATTTCGGGAGATTTAGGCTATAAAATAGTGTCCAAGGACTTAATTTTTCCTTTTAAAATACCTGGTATTTCCTTTTTCATTCAATGACCAATTTATAAACAAACTTTTATTAAACTTTTCACTCTGTTCTTTGTATTAATTTGAACCATTTTTGCTTTTTTCTCAACCATTTATATGTGTATCTTTTATTTTAGGTTAACCAAATGCCTGAAATTAAAATTGAGGAACCTCCCAAAATCAAAGTAGAACCTGGTGTTTCGATTAAGACTGAATTCGAAGAGAATGGTGCCTCATTATTAGGAGAGATGAAATCTGAAATGCCATCACCAACAGAATCCATTTCGACAGATTCTAAAATATCGGTGAAGATCGAAACTAAGCATTCTATATCTTTGAAAACATACATCGAAAGAAGAAAGAAAGAAAATGAGCTGAACAAAGTGCCTTTTTCACCATATGTTCGTAATGGCACTGTGATCAAGTCAGAAAATCTAAAAGATCGTCCTATGGAACTGCCGTTACCCCCATGGCATAGAAATTTAAAAAAACACATTGCTGTGAATAGTCTAAAAGTACCAAAGAAAGAAGTTACAAAGGATATTTTCCACTCTAAAGTCACCACCATAGCTGTTAAAAGGTTAAGTTCTGATGACAGTGAGAAGCCTTTCACGAAACTCCCAAAACTAGATCACTCAGCGATCGTTTAATAGCTATTATATGAGTCTTGTCAAAGTGCCTTCTATCCAGGATTCAAAACAGTATCTGTCATTGTACTCAAACGTAAAAAAAATTTAAATCTGTTTATTGGCCTATAGGGATATTCCCTTATTATGATTTTCTAGTCGATATGAATGTGATATTTTACTATAGAATATTTTATTTTTTATTACTTTACATGTGTTTTTTGTTGTATATTCTATGTTTTGTATGAGTAATGTGCATGTATCATTTTTGTGATTGATATTAAATTTTTATAAAAATTTTTAGATTTTAATGAATTCTCTAGTAAAATTTTATGATTTAGTACCTTAGAAAAAAAGTAAAAATTATACATCGATTTTTTTTTTAATAAAGCTGAATGTAAAAAATATATATATTTATATCTGTTGACCTATAGGGATATTCCCTTAGTATGATTGTCTAGTCAATATGAATGTAATATTTATCGTCTAAAAGCTTTTCTAAGTGCTTTTGTAATAGTTAGTGATAATTTTAATTCTTAAATCTAGTCAAAGTGCCTTCTACACAGAATTCAACAACATCTGTTCATTGGTATTTAAAACAGAATCTATCATTGTACGTAAATGTAAAAACATTTTAAATGTTTCTATTGACCTATAGGGATATTCCCTTGGTTTGATTGTCTAGTCGATGAATTTGATATTTTATTTTTCATTACTTTATATAGGTTTTTTTTTTGTACACGTTTTGTATGAGATATGTGCATGCGCTAATTTTGTGATTGGTATTAAATTTTCATTATTGTTTTAGATTTTAATGAATCCTCTAGTAGAATTGTATGATTTACTACAACAGAAAAAAAGTAATAAATCGATTTTTTTTAATAAAACTGAATGTAAAAAAATATTTTTTTCTTTTTAAATCAGTTAGGTTTTTCCAACGTACCTTGGGACTTATTACTAAGTCTTTATAAAACTAAAAGATGGTAAAAATTTCAATTTAAACACCTTAACACTTTTCTAAAACCAGCTTTCAAATCAATACAAGATTAAATTAAAATTGTTGAAAAAAGCAATCTGCAATATTTTTCTGGTGGAAACTAATTTATGGTGTCTATACTGGTGAATCAATTTGTATCACTCATTTTTATCAATAATTTTAATTACAATTTGGAAACACTTGTTTCAGTTGATGAAAGGAGTGTGCCTTTGTATGATTTTCTAGATGAAGTGAATTCTGTATTAAAATATTTTTTTATAGTGCACATTATCATTCCTTATCATGCATTATCAATACTATCCAATTATTGTACTTATAGCCATTCCACTAGTATTGATTATTATTCCTTAATTTTGAAAAGAATAATGAATATAAAAATCAAAAATTGTATTTCAACTGATGGAATGCGATTTCCTAAGGGAAATTAATTCTTTGCACAAAAGCATCCCAGTTTATAGAAATGATTTAAAATACCTAACATTGAACAATAGAATGAGTGTTATTGACGAATGATTTATCTTAATCTTATTAAACTCTATAAATAAGTATAATGTTGTTATCTATTGTTTATCTTATAAAAACTGTTCATATTTTTAATAAATTGTTTCATTTAATTTTTACTTAGGACTCGTGTATTTCTATTGACATTATAACATAATTTTCAACGTGTGGCTATTGTCTAATACACTTAAAAAATAGAAACACATGTTTAAGTAGGAATTTTCTTTTAAAAATCTTGAATTCAACACTAAAAGCATATCGTTATCATATCTAATAATCTGTTTTTTTTTTTTTATATTTCATTTTGACCTATATATTTTTATAAACGAGACTTATTTTTATTCTGAGTGTCCGTCGAAAATCTTGTCAAATTTTAATTTTGAAATTAATATTTGCTTTTTATTTTTTTAATTATTTATTTCACACTATTTATAAATATTAATTTTAAATTACTTCGTAAACTCTAAAGAAAACTCAATTTTATTTTATTTTGTGTTTAATTTCAAAAGTGTCTCAAATTGTTATACAATTTTCCTTGTAAACATGAAAAAATTTAAGGACAAATAAATGAAGTAAATAAAACATACTGAAAGGATAGGTTGAAATTCTGAGAAATTGACTCCATTGTATGCACTTAAAATTTTTCTACACTTAACCAGGGTTAGAAGTGTATCATTTTGTTAAGACATAGATTTACTTAGACATTTTTTTTTCAATATTCAGAAAACAGAAATTCTTTGTCATGCATATTTATGCTTTTCGATGATACACGATTCTTTATAAACTATCACCACTACTTGTTCTAGGTACAAAAAAAAAAAAAAAAAAANAAAAAAAAAAAAAAAAAAAAAAAAAAAAAAAAAAAACGGTATATATAAGTTATAACCAGAAATAAAATGTTTTTATATTTTTAGTCATATTTGATAAATTTTAATTGATATATTTAATATTAAAAGTATTTCATTTGAAAATTTTTTTTCTTTATAAATTTCTGAAAAAATTTCATTGTAAAATTCCAAATATATACCTATAACAAGTGCTGATATTACTAATCGAAATTTTTCAAGATATAAGAGTTAGCCTTTTTTTTGCTTTTTAGACGAAAAGCATTTGGTCACGTTTTAGGATATTATAAAAAAAAATTGTTAATACAATGTAACTGCTTATGCTTTTGAGGATTATAACAGAAAACTAGTGAATGCTTATCTTTATCAGGTGTTTCTTTGCATTTTTTTCTATTCATAAGTTACAAATTTATATGAATTATTACTGTATTTTCTCATTAAATTTATTAACACTGGTTGCAATTTAGAATTTAAAAAAAAACATGGCATCAAAAATTCAAAGGGATTGAATTTTCATTTTAAATTTTTTTTTTTTGGGGGGGGGTCTTTGGAAACTTTTTTTTCTTTTTACCCTTTTTTAATTGCATTCTTCAATTTTCCGGTTATGCAGGTAATTACAAAATATTCATAGTCGATAGCTTGGAACACTTCTTGACAAATAATTTCAGTCTTCTTTCAAATGGAGAAAAGAATTGTATTTAAATCTCAATAGCAAAATTAGAGAGTAAAAAATAAGCACTGTGAAAAACATCTATGTTCGAAGATATGAATAAAAAAATCTCTTGCAGAATCTTTGGACAGAAATCTCTTGTTATTAAAATCTTAAATTTCTTTCCTATAAAACACTTCATTAGATCGGGTTCTCCCATCGCCTTCACCTGTTCAGGGAATCTTGAGCAGCTGGTCGCCGTCAAGGTACTGGACATCTGGCTAGAATGCAGGATGGTCGAAATTGTCAAAAATTATTTCCACACCAAGACGATTTTCAACCTTTTTTTACATCACCACCCGCTTTGCAAGTCAAAAAATTTTTCACCCCGCCTTAAAAAAAAAGAAATTAACAAATAAATATTTAATAAAAAATTCTATGTCTTTTTAATTCTAATATTCTTGTTATGATACATTTATAATCATGCCTCTAAGCTATAGTAAATAGACCTATTTACACTAGAAACGTTTTTAATACTAATTTTGTTTAAAATAACTCCTCTGTGGAATTTTTAAGTGGTTTCATAAAAATTTAGCACAGCTTATCACTATAGTGATATAGCAGCTATATTAATATAGTTAGCTGCTATAGCAGTTTAAATTAAATACTTAAATAAATATTATTTTTACTATATTTCATTTAAAAAAATCTCAAAATAAGTTATGTCATTTATGAATGTATTCAGTTCAACTTGCAATCAGTCGCCTGTGTTTTATAGTAACTTATTACAAAGTATATAGTATATTTATAGTAACTTATTACACTTATTACAAAGACTATAAAGGTAGTTACATATTTTATAAGTTGACAATCTGAAATTAGAGAATAATTTTATTTCAATATCCTTTTGAATTATTAAAATTAGAGAAAACAAATAAATAAACTTAATATATTCAAAACTTTTATGCCAAATTAGTTAAACATAAGAAATAAAGTGTTCAAAAATTTACATATTAAAAAATTCTTGAGTTCTGACTTTAAAGAAAATGCATGTGTAATGTAATTAAAGAGGACATCAGGCTTTTAGACTGCAGGATCAAATAAGTTTCAAATTTCACGTGAAGGTCATTGTTAAAATAAGAATAAATCAATTTTTAAAGGTGACTAAATCAATATTAAGATGTGGATAAATCAATGCTAAAATGTGGATAAATCAATAAGATGCAGGTAAATCAATGTGGATGTTACAGTATTTTTTTGTGTCATCATTAAAAAGCATATTTTTTTAAATACTAATTTTTTAAGAAATATCAATTACAGAATTGATGTATTTTTATTTTTTCGGGTTAGAAATGTACGTAGTTCTTTGATACCAAATAAAAAATTGTTTATGAATTTTAATACTCTATCAATACTAATTTCATCTATAATTTGTTTATAGCCTTCTATAAACCCACACACAGCTAATATACTCATAAACTTGTTAGTGCTGTCCTTAAATGTATTTACCACCCACTGGGGGGGGGGGGG